CTCAGCACCAGCCTGGGGGGGTCCCTGCTCACATTTTAATTAACAGCAGTTGAGGATCTTTGAGGGGTGACAGCAGAGAGGCTGATGTGTAACCAGACAAACTTATTTTCATCCTTTTCTTCGTGCAACTGCTCTAAACCAACAAGGGAAATTCCCAAGAAAAAGCTCTGGGATAAACAGAGCCATTGCAGGAAAGCAGAAGGGTAAGCAGGTATGGAAGAACTGACATCAGTAATGCCAGATTACAGGATTTTCACTTTTTTAAAAAAAATCTATCACAAAAGCAAAAAAAAAAATCAATTTACTTTACAATCTACATCTTTTTTTATTTTTCTTCCCCCCCCCCCCCCACTTTCTTTATGGCAGTCACTACTACACAGTTCGCATCCAGCTTTTAAAGACTTAATGAACAGGTACTTCCAGGAATCTCAGCCTTAAAGCACTTTTCTCCAGAGAACTTTTTGTTCAGCAAAAGCTTTTGTGCTAATGTCGAGCACAGGTCATTGAAAATTATTATTTTCTATTTAAACTGACAGGGAATCCCACCCCTTTGAAAAATTAACTTCAAACATTATGTTTCCACTTCAGAGAAGGGAAAAATCGTGCAGCCAGTCAACTGGCACTAAAAAATGTTGCAGCTACAATAGAAGAGACAAAATAATCTGTTTAAAGAATGGAATGGGAGAAGTTGCTGCTGATGCAAAAAATCAGACTTTGTGCACAGTGACACCCTTCCAGAGCATTTCAGTGCTCTGCACGTTAACACCTGTAAAACATTTCTCTGGCTCTACCCATTTCCTAATCTGATGGACAGGCGTCCTTCAATAATATCACCCAGCATTTCTGCTCTCTTACTGGATGAAGGAGCCACCTCACAGCCTTCATCATCAACAGCCCTTAATTCTCCATTGACTTACTGGTAGCTACAGAGAGATTTTATTTTCATTTTCCCCTTCGCAGTGTCTTTGGAGTATTTGTTCTTCTGTGTTCTCATAATTCTGAGTACCCAATTTGAGTCATGTTGAAAATGTATATAATTTTCCAGAAGCCGTAGACATAGGATTATCTCAATTCCTGCCTCTTTTGACATCGTTAGTTATCACCCAAAATCTACATGGCATAGTGATGATCATGCTTTTATGTGGTACCTTAAGGATGACAAAGCCAATATTACCATTCCTCTAACACCTTTTCCTTCCCTCTCCAAACACATATTGAAGAGAGAATTTTAAAAGAGTAAAATAACCTCTAACAGCAAACTCTAAAAGATCCTCAAGCTAGAAGAGTTTCCTGGGACGTGGGATAAGCTGGATGTTCAACTTCTTGTACCAGATGAGGGCATGGAATGGAGCCTGGGGCCACATCACCGGTGAGGTCTCTAAGGACCAAACTCCTGGCAACGGTGCGAAGTCTTCTCTGTAAAACTGTGTGTGCACGGGACCTGGAGAAACATCCACATCCCCACGTGTGTTGGCCCAAGGGCTGTGAGGCACTGCAAGGTTTTGCATTTGTTTTTAACACAAATATACGTGTGTTTCCTTCTTCCTTGAATTAACAAAATATCCATAGGAAGACTGATTATCATTTACGCTTAACTGCAATCAACAGGGATATACAGTGACAAATTCACAATGAAAGCAAATTAGCAGAAATATTTTGGGTGGGAAAGAACTCTGAAAGAAGCACACCAGATTTCCCCCACCCTGGCCTTTATGATGAATTATTTCCATTGCATCAGAACATTTTTTTTTTTGCTTCACCAGGGAAAAGTCAGACAAACAGAACATCCTCCAAGCAGGCACAGCAAAAAATACACACATCAGGCATGGAGGTCATCAGGAACTTTGTTTATCCAGAGGGGTTTATTGGGTTTGCTACCTGACAGAGCTTTTTTTTTTTTTTTTTTCCCCAAACAGGAGAAGAACATTGAGTTATTGAGTTTTACTAGAAAAAGAGGAGTTAAGATTCCCTTGGAGCTTCCTCTGTTTTCTAATGGTTTTGTCTAGAAATACGTTACAGGAAGGTATCCTAACCATCAGTCTGAGAGCAGGATATGAAGATGCCACTGATGAGAACACCCAGCAACACTCAAATGCTGGCAGCCTTGCAATCATTTAAATAACTCATTAATCTAAAGAATCATAGAATCATTAAGGTTGGAAATTACCTCAAGGATCATCAAGTCCAACTGTCAACCCAACACCCACCCAACCCACTAACCCATGTCCTAAAGCACCACATCGACACGTTTCTTGAACCCCTCCAGGGATGGTGACCCCACCACGTCCCTGGGCAGCCTGTTCCAATGCCTGAGCACTCTCTCAGTGAAGACATTTTTTCTAATATTCAGCCTAAACCTCCCCTGGCACAACTTGAGGCCGTTTCCTCTTGTCCCATCACTTGTTCCTTTAGAGCAGAGCCCAGCACCCACCTCACTGCACCCTCCTTTCAGGCAGTTGTAGAGAGGGATGAGGTCTCCTCTCAGCCTCCTCTTCTCCAGACTGAACCCCCCCAGCTCCCTCAGCCGCTCCTCGTCAGCCCTGTGCTCCAGACCCTTCCCCAGCTTCGTGGCCCTTCTCTGGACCTGCTCCAGCCCCTCAATGTCCTTCTTGTGGTGAGTGGCCCAAAGACTTTAAACACAGCCTCATCTGTAGTCTCTATTGTTTATTGATCCACAGAATTTCTGACTTTCAAAAAGAATAACGTACTTTTGCTACCCATTTATTTACTTTTGTTGCTTTTTGAAGGACTCTCTCGGGTTTAGATGATGATGATTGTTATTCTTATTAAATACGTGGTGGTCATATGATGCCATTCACAACGAGCTCGAGGTCAGGTGTGCTGGGCAGCCACAGACTTGGGCAGTCATTCCTAAAGACAGGAAAATGCCCAGAAAAAAAATCAAGAGCAGATGTTTGAAGCTAAGTTATGGAATGAAGCACATACCATAAAGGCACATTCCAATAAACACAGTGAAATTTAGTGAATTTTAAAGGGAACAGATTCTATCTGAATGTTGATGATGGTTGTAAAGAACTTTACATTTCTTTCTGAGTAAGATGAGGGGATTGTTGCCTAGTCCTGGTAGCAGTCCCCCTGCCAGAAGAAGTGAACTCCATCTATCTGATGCTTCTCCTGCAAGGCTTGGGTGCTATTTCAAGTAAATACTCTTTTCTCCTCAGCTGCTGTATGGAAATCTTGATACACAACAACAACAAAAAAGAGATGAAATAGAGAGAAGCAATGAGGTGCAGGCAAAATGCTAAAAAATATGTACACAAAGTAAAATCAAAACTCCGATACCAATTTCTCTCATATTTCACTCCTAAACTCAGCATCACTTTTAGTAAAGACAAATTAACCAAGACTGGAATAAAGATTTTTATTTTTTTTCCTAAAAGACAGTTCTTCCCCTTTAACAGGAATAATAAGGGGAAAATCATAGCAGGTAGCAATGCGCTGGGGCTAGAAGGGAGCCGTGCTTCATTTATTTAATGGGTATTTCCTCGTTGAGGTCCCTTCTCAGAATTAACAGGGCCACACAGCAGAGAGGAAAAAAGAAAAAAAAAAAAGTCACCTCAAATGCTTTAATGATATTTTGTTCAACATCTTGCAGCTCCTAGGCATCTCATAGGCACGGTCTTCTATAAATAAAAATGTGAGGGCACATTATTATTTTGCTATGACTCATGAAATTTGTATCTGCAGGGAGCTAGGGACTGTGGCTTTTCCTCTGGGCTCTCCGGTGCTGTCTGCTGGGTCAATTAAAATACCGAGATTTCTTTTCACACAAAGCCTTTCCTCTCCCTTTGCTTATTCCGAGTGTGTTTCGCTCACATCCCCCCTTCACCACCTCATCGCCATTGTAAATCACAGCAAATTACTGTCGATGCCGTGTTCCTGCAACAAGGCTGCTTTCGCCTCTTGACAACAAAACCTCTAAGCCAAATGTCAAAAATTCAAATGGAAATACAATATTACAAATACATCCACGGACATCTCCTGATACAATCCTGCAGACCCGAGCTGATGCAATGCTCCCTCCCTGACCCCCCGGACAGAAATAGTTTCTAATTCCCCAGCCTGCTGAAGGGTAGGAGATGTTGGGCAATAAGAAGTGAACAGGGGTTATGGCTCTCATAAAATATTCACACCACTGGCTCCTTATACAGCAGTTTCTCCTGAGTAAGATTAATCGCATGCTATTATTTAAAGTTCCTACAGTGTGGGAGTTTATGTTTCACTACCGTTCACAGATTAGATTATAGAAAATTAGTTTCAGATGAACTGTTTGGTTCGGGTAGATTAATCCACTCTGATGATGCCTATCAGCCCATCAAACTCCTTCTTCAACCCAACCAGCCGTGTCCCTGGGGTTATCCAGAAAGTGATAAACAACTGGGGAGAGTTTCTCTCCACCTGGTAGTAATTGTTCGGCAAGCGCTCTTCTCTTACTTTTATCTAAGAGCGACATTTATCCTGCTATTTAGTGTAATTAAAGCATAGGTACTCATCTAGAGCTCCTACCCAGGGAGCAGTTGTCTGATGGCAGCAGACTCACAGCCTGCACAACTGCCTTAATTTCAATAACGCGTTCAGCTGATGACGAGGAAGAAAAGGGTGAAGGAGGTAATGACATCCCCAGGAGCTCAAGATGCGTTCACCGCCAAGACAGCGTGGACAGGGGATTGGCACAGGCAATGCCCAGGAGACACGGTGTCCTTTGGCCCCCATTTGTCTCCAGTGTGGATGGGAAAGCTGCTGCATCTTCGCTGTACAACGGGGCATGTGACACCCTCGTTCCAGCTAAGGGGTCTGAGCCCAGCTCAAGAGCCACTGGCTAATTGAAGCCAGCACTAATTTATCTCATACATCATCAGAAATTACCAGAAATACATTTGGAAACACAGGACACCATTATGTGAACGTTGCTATCTCCTCAGATGAGGATTCAATTTCTCCTCCAAGGAGAAGGCCACCAGTTTGCCAGCTCAGCTTACCTCTGACGATGATGTTGGTGGACTTTTTAGCAGGATTTCCAACATTGTTATTGGCGATGCAACTGTATGTGCCAGCATCTTCCGATGTGATGGCCGGTATCGTTAAAGTGCCGCCGTTCAGGACCGTCTTCTCGGGCAGGATGCCGGCAGACCTCACCCACGTCAGGCTGGGGACTGGCTCCCCTCCTGTCGTCACGCAGACTAAGGTGATTGCTTCACCGGGGTTCACCACTATCGGGTCATCCACAAGAAGCTTAATTGAAGGGGATGCTGCAAAACACAAGAGGAAGAGAAAGGTGTAGCAACGCTACATCTGTGGTATTGCTCAGTCCTGACAAACATGCTCAAGCCAACCAAGATGAGCAAAGCTCAAACCAGCTTGAGCTACAGTGCTCTTTGCATGACCATGTGTCCTCCGAGAAGGGTGCTCTCCATCCTGATGGTCCCCCGACACCATATCTCTCCCCCTGCTCAACCATCGTCTTTCCCCTGGCTGTCAAACTGCAGATGAGGATTTAACGTACGGACAAGCCTGTGGCTGTGCTTGGGAAGTAACGTATGATATATGGGACAGGTGCCAGCACAATGGATTTTAAGCCCTGGAAGAAGGGAATTAGCAACAATCTTCTTATTTGGCAGGGAAAGCACGTTGCACTCTTGGAGTCAGACCCTACTTATTGAAAACCAGCCCCCTCTTAATCCACCTGCCTCCCTGATGAACTCCCTGGGACTTGGCTGCCGGCTGGGATGAATTTGTAGAGTTTGTGTTGGGTCTGTTCAATGGGGAAGAGCCACTCCCCTTGGGACATCATCTCCCTGAATCTTCCCTTCATCTTTCCTTCAGGGAAACTGAAGGATCCAGCACAGATTTTTTTTTTTTCCCCCTGCACGGGCTGTGCAACCTGCAGCATGGGCACAGCTCCATCTCCTCACAGACACACAAGAGAGGTGAAGACTTGGGTCCCTGCTCACTCCTGTACAAGAGCCAAGGCGACACAAGCTAAGTGACCAGCTGCAGGGACTCTCTTTGGGCCAGACCACCAAACCAGCTGAGCTACATCGCAGCACAGGCTCATGGAAGGATGCTGCTGGTCTCAGAAGGGAGAAGAGAGTTATCCAACGTCATTCTCTCTTCTTGCCTCTTCTTTTCCATGAAACATCTGCATGACATAAGGGGAGCAACAGAAATGCTCAGTATGAAGGGACAGGGCAGAGGAATCCAGTCTAGGTGCTGGAATTTAAGATCACAATCTGAGCTGTGACGTCCTCTGTCATTTGTGGTGAGGGACCCACCCAGGCTGGATTCAGGCTTTGCTTGAAGGAAGACCCTAAAGCACAGAAGTGATGACCCAACGCATAAATGCAAATTGCTGGTACAGAAAAAGCAGCAATGTTAAAGAAACACAGACGTAAAGGAGAAGGATCGAAATTCTGGGCAAAGAATACCAGAAAATGTGACATTAAAAAAATCAAAGGAAATAAAAATGTTACATCCAAAAATCATATCACTAACCTCATTATTGCACAGATACATTCTTGTGTGTTCTGCTATATATAAGAATCTTAGTACTAAAGGAACACAGACTAATCACTAAAGGCAAATACAAGAGTCAACTATAAAGATAAAATTTTTCTCTATTCGGAGTTCACCCAGGAGGAATTGGCTTTCTCTTCATCCAGCAGCTGGAGCACACCAGTGGGAAGCAGTCCATTCAGACCTGTCCCAGCACAGAGAGACCAGCCCTCCCTCAGCCCAGGAAACACTTCAAGACGGCAGGACAGCAGAGGTTTACACGCAAAGCCCCTCTTCCAGCTCCTCCCAGCTTGGGACCCTGCAGATGCTTCCCAGCACAAATTCCAGGGTTCATGTAACCAACTTAAAGGTGAAGAACCCAGGTGCACGGCTGAAGGTTCAGACAGAAAACAATTCAGCGCTGCCCACAGCGCCAGTGTCTCTTTGCTCACCTCCTCTGACCTCCTGTTCTTCCATCACTTGATGCATCCATCACCTGATGGACTTCTGTTTTGGGATTACAGGTCTGAAGCTGGGCAGTAGGTCACGTCTCATGCTTAACTAGGTTTTGCTTGGCTGAAGGGAGCAGAAGCAGGGATCCAGGTACCTGCTGCGCAACCAGACCTGAGCTCCAGACCTGGAAGGTCATCACCAACCAGGGGGAGCGCTCTGCTGGCCCCTCTTTCTCCCCACTCCAGAGGTTAATGACTTTTTCCTGAACAACTCTGGCAAGGAGTTACTCTTTGCTCTCACTAAACATCAGGTCATGAGACGGGGAATGAGAGAACCACAAATAATGCTTCGAAACTCGGAACCAAAGATGAAAGCTCCAACAACGTCAACCCAAGCTGGTGGTGCTGTTTACCATAATGGCCTCGTAATCCGCCAGATGAAAGGGGGCCCTTTGCCACCCTTCAGATAGAGACAAAGATAGCGGCTGATGGGATAAAACCACTCTGATACATCCCTTTCATCACCACACTCAAAACAGTAAGAACATGAAGATTACGGTTTGCAAACAGCAATTTCTCTTGGCCTACATCACACACTTCACTTAACTACAACCTATCCCACACTAAGACAAACACAAACAAAAATTCAATGACACACTCAATGACTCCATTAAAAGCCTGCTTTAATCCTAACAATACTAAGAAATTCAGAAGGGATGCAAAGGTTTCCAGCAAATAAAACTTGGTGTAGTGTATAAAGGGTCAAATGCCTGTTATGAATAGAATGTGAAACTACAGCAGCCACAAGCTATTATTTTGATATTTCTCAGCTTGAAACCCTGTAGACAATCTGCACTGTATCACAATGCACTAAAGACACAGAACCTCTTGTTTTCAGCTTTACGGTGCAACCAACAATAGAACTGGGTCTACAGCACCACTTGCCTTATTGTCATGTGCACGTTGCCAATTCTGGCCTAGAAATGGAGAGACTGGAAGGTTCCTGGTGGCCACTTGGACTTTGTCCTTCCAATGCTGAACCCCACTCAGTGCCACCACCAGCCCCACGCTTGCCCATCTTTGACAGTGCAACCTCCACTCTTGATGCCATCATCATCAACCCCTCCCTCCTTCCAGCCAGGGATGGGGCAAGGTGATAGTCAACACTCAGCTGTTCATGTGCCAAACATGAGCTGGAGAACTGCAGTTTCTTGCCATGGCTGTGACCAGCTGTCTTGGTGTTGTAGTTTATACAACACAGCCGCTCGCTCACCCTCCCACCTCTATGGAAGGGGGGAGAAAATTAAAGGGGAAAAGGGAAGAAAGTCTTGTGGGGTGAGATAAGAACAATTGAATAATTAAACTACAATAATGTTGGAAATAATAAGAATGATGAAAATAGTAGTCATATACATAAAATATACAAATGAGTGACACACAGTGACACTGCTCACCACCCCAGGACCAAGGCTCAGCCTGTTCCCGGCCAGTGATCCCAGAGCAGGGAGAGTCCTGAAACCACAATCCCAGAACGGAGATAAGAGCCCGAGTGTCCGAGAGACCGAGACGACCCTGAGAGAGGGGCGACCCGGAGGAAGACAACCCGGAGCAAGAGAGAGCCCTTCCAGCCAGAGCCTCCCCTCTCTCCTGGGCATGCCGGGCATGGGATGGAACAGACCATGGGCCAGTTTGGGTCTCAGTCCTCAACCTGAGGTGGAATCCTGGGCTAGGGATGGGGCTGTGCTCCCTCCCAGCTCCTCCTGCCCCTGCAGACACGGGCACAGCAGAGAAGCTGGAAAGTCCTTGACTGTCCTGGCAGCAGCTCCACCCATCAGTGTGTGATCAGCTTCTCCTCAGCACAGACCCAACACAGCCTCACCCCAGCTGCTGGGGAGAGAGTTCCCTCTGTCCCAGCTGACACCAGGACACTTGTCAAGGGAAGTGGAGAAAGAAAAAGAGTGAAGCAGGGAGAGGTAGCCAGGGAATGAAAGAGGCAAATGGCAAAAAACCCAAGTTCTCGATAACTCCAGTGATGTGCCCAGACACCATGGGGTGGCAGAAAAATGGCTTTAGCTCTAAGTTAGAGAATGCTCATGTTCACTTCTGTACGTCAGCCTGGTTCTAGCCCCACTTGTCTCCACTTCTAAGTTTAGTCACCTGCTAGAAAACCTGTATGAATTAGCTTGAGTTAATGACCTACATGCAGGGCTTCTGCAGGTCTGCTTTACTGGACAGCTCCTCTGTTTGACTCCATCCTGAAATGCCTTCCCATCCCAAACCGGAGGAACACCTCTAACTGCTCCCCATGGGATGCTGCAGCAGGATGCTCCCTCTCTCCAGAGACCAGGAATGCAAAGCTGTAGTGCAGAAAGGAGTAATGAAGACACAACAACAATACTCCATCTAACAGTAGGGACAGTAAGCCCTGGACTTTGCTGCTCAGATTTGCTGCAGAATCTCTCATTTCAATTTTCTGAGCAAAGGTCCGTTACACACAAAGTTTAGGACTAGCTCCTGTTTCAGCTAGGGAAACAGAGCTCACTATCGTGTGAGATCTCTCCCTGTCCTAGTTTCAATGACAGCAAGAGGTACCGCCGAAAGGTGATTCCTCTTATCTACCAGAAGCTATCTTCTAGCAAGAACCTTCCCCTGTGGCATCCGTCTCTCCCTGCTGACTGCAGACAGAGCCCAAAGATTAGTTTAATCTAGACAGGTAAGATTTAGATGGCAGAAGATAAGTGACATCAATCCCAACTTTAGGATGAGGATTTACAAATGCATCAGGAGCCTATAGACAGGAATAGGCAGAAAGTGCTGTTTGTAACAATGTATGTGTGCCAACCTCCCACTGATCCCAGTGTTTCACAAATCCTCTTGGATCCTTGCACGTTCAGAAAACTCAAATTTTGGCCTAATCCTCTCTAAAATGGATTTGTCTCTTATTTAGTTGTAAACTTTTGGGGTTAAACACCACACAGAGCATAAATCTGAACTGTGTAATTCATCACCACGCATTATTCTGGGTCCAGGATGATTAAAAAAATGGAGCGGGCATTTATAAAGATGACAAAGTGATCCAGAGCAATTATAATAGTTGATGACTATACCAAAATATTGTTGAAGAATTATTAAAACTCATGCTTCAGGGCAGAAAATGGTATTTTTTTCTGGAACGGGAGGGCAGACTACCACATATCTGTCTACTGCACCCTTTTTATGCACTCTTCTGAAATGTCTCCTACTGGCTCTCGTTAAGGGCAGGCATGAGATCTGATCCAAAAGGAGAATGTAAGTGTTTATACATC